TGCATTCCCATCTGTCCTCATCTGCCAATATCTTCCGAGTGAAAAAGGTTGAAATTTAGAGGAGCCCTAATTCAGCCAAACAAATAGTCTTGTCATATACTATCAAAACAGTAGAGAATTCTAGATTTTCTCAATGTTTTCTCCACTGTAGTATCCACACAACAACATTCTGTGCCAGCTGTATCCCCAAGTGCTCAGCATAGTGCTGTCATAGCGCTTAACATATGTTGCTGAATAACTGTCATTTTTATCCACGTCTTTCTATAACCCAAATATTGGAACACCTATATGAGCATTTCATGAATACCCGTGTACCATTTGGGCAGTCTGAACATATGTCCTTAATTATGTTTTTTTGTGCTACTACTCTTGTACAAATAATTATTGATGATATGCTTCAGCCTGATTTCCAACCATCTTTCCATCATCTTTTGTGTCTGGGAGTCATGAATAAATATGTGTATATATTCAGTATATGTGTATATACTCGGTCAATAGACAATCACAACTTTATGAAACTTACATGAAAACTAGGTTTATTACAAGAGAAATGAACCTTGCATATGGAACACAAAGAGCTCATAATCCATACAGAAATTTGCATATTTATAATGGTAGAACCAAAGAAGGAGGAGAAAGTACAAATCTCCACCTAAAGGGGTGTGGCATGGGAGGGGGAAAGGTGCAGTAAAAGTCAGAAAAGGATGAAACTCCTCCCAAAGGGGAGGAGCAAGGTGATGGCAAAAGATGCACTCTTTTCCCTTGGAAACTGCTAGACCAGGGGTGGGGAACCTGCAACCTCCCTTTTGATTGAGTCCAAGTTTTACAGAACAAATGCTTTTATTAAAGGCCCTCTAGGTCCTCAAATGCAGCCCTTTGACTGAATCCAAGTTCTTTTATTAAAGGGATTTGTTCTATGAAGTTTGGATTCAGTCAAAGGGCCGCACTTGAGGACCTAGATGGCCATGTGAGGCCTCGAGGCTGCAGGTTTCTCACTCTTGTGCTAGACCATGAAGATATGATGGTTCAGCTTATTTACAAGGGTCCCAGCTGCACAAGCATTTTTCCAGACCAGTGTAGACTGACTGGCCCCTATCTTGGCTGCAAAGGACACATAGGGAGTCCAAGTTAGGATGCAAACAACAAATTATGTAAGTTCTGAGCGGGGGGGGAGGAGAAGGGGGGGGGTGACTTTGTCCTTGACACATTCAGGACCTCCTGCTCACTCTGGGTCCAGTGTTTCTGGAAAATATGGCAACTCAAAAAGACAAGTTCAGGGAACCCCTTAACATCCTTTAACATTATACACATATGTGTGTCTACATATATGTATGTTTATGTCTATATATGGGAGAGAATAATATAGGTAACAGATAATGCTATGTGGCATAGTGTATACAGCACTGGATTTGAAGTTAGGAATTGCGATCTTGACTTACTACAACTTGGAATACACAACATAATTTACAGACTAGAATAGATATGTGAGATTCCATAAACCACCTACAAAAGATTGGTCCCACTGCTTTGTAGCCACATCTCACATAATGAATCATTTGTAAAAGCCACATCCGAATTCACTTTTGGGGAGTAGATATGGTGACAGCCAAAGAAGCCATGTGCAATACGGCTGGTTCCACCTTGCCAAAGAAAAGCAGAAAATGGAAGCAATATCCATTCTAAAGACAAAGTGTAGATCTTCATGATTTGCTTTGCCAGGTCAGGTTCCGGCATATGTTATAAGTGAGGTAGACTGACCTTAGTTTCCTCGGTGATCCTCCTACCATTCCTTGTTTTCGATGGGCTAGTATTACAAGAAGCTAGGCAATTTTAAATATTGAGATATTTATCTAAATGTAGCTAACTTCAGTTAGAATTTTGAATGTGTTGAGTTTCACACAGTTCCCTGAGGGTTAATGATAATACCTATTACTTCTATAATACTTTGAAGTTGACAAAGTAATGTAAACAGCAATTTTATCTATATGTTTAGCCATCATCTCATTTAATCTTCACACCAACCCTAAAGGTAAGCAGGACATTCGTTACCAACCCTATTTTCCAAAAGAGGAAACTGTGACTTTGAGAAATTCAATGACTTGTCCATCAACAATATTGTCCAGGACCAGAACCCGAGTCTGCTGATTCCCTCAGCAGTGTTTGTACCGGTACATCAGTGCAGCTAAGCTCAAATAGAAATGGTGGCCACTAAACCACACCTAAGGATCCCAGTAGGTGGCATCTTGACCTAGAAAACCACGTATGTGCATTCGGGGTGTGTGTGTGTGCGTGTGCATGTGTGTGTGTGTGTGTGTGTGTGTTAAACAGTTTCTCTCTCACACACACACATATATACATACATATACATGTATATATGTATGTATGTGTGTGTATGTATATACATACACACACATACACATAATATAGAGAGAAGAAATTTCCTCCTAAAATACTTCTATGTAGGTGATTGCTATAAAAAATGAAGACCTCTATGGGATCATCAGAATTTGACTGCAGGGGCAGCTAGGTGGCACAGCGGATACAGCACCGGCCCTAAAGTCAGGAGGACCTTAGTTCAAATCCGGCCTCAGACACACATAACACTTACTAGCTGTGTGACCCTGGGCAAGTCACTTAACCCCAATGCCTAGCCAAAAAAAAAAATGTAAACAGAATTTGACTGCGCTGTGTGACAAAGCGGCATTTCTAATATTTCTGTTTGGGTTTGTTTCTCTGGCATTAGTACAGCTCTTATCAACAAATTAGTATTTGCATAGGGCCTCTGACCTTGAGCTTTATCACCATATAAAACTACAAAACACAGTGGTAAAGGAGGGGTCTATTCCAGCTGATAAGCTTACAAAAACTGATAACTGAATATGCCCTTTGGTATGTAATTTAAAATTTTTTTTTTAGGCAATTGGGGTTAAGTGACTTATCCAGGGTCACACAGCTAGTAGGTGTCCGAGGCCAGATTTGAACTCAGGTCTGCCTGACTACAGGGGCTGGTACTCTATCCACTGCACCACCTAGCTGCCCCCTTAAATTTTTTTTAAAATTTAATTTTTTTTATTATTTTGAACTTCTCAAACAAAGACAAACTTCTCCCTGTACAAAGAAGAACAGAAAAGGAGGAAACCATGAATCCCCACTCTATGTACAATTTTATTTTTGAATATTTTAAATTTAACCTGGTAGCTTGTCTGTGTCCCCTCCTGAACTTCCTTCTGTTCTCGTTTTTTTTCAATGATTCATTGATTCTCTTTTCTTTATTTTTCTTCCTTTTTCAGTATCACTATAAATATCCTCCCATTCCTCACAGCTTTCCCCTCTATCCACCCAAAAATATAGGCCTCCCCTTGTAAAAAGTGAAAATGGTCACACAAACCAAATGCAAACACTGAAAATGTATGTCTCATTCATCACCTCTCCGCAAGAGGTGGGAAGTATTATTTATCATCAGTCATGTAAGGTCCTGACTGGTCATTGTATTGATCAGAGTTGAGTCTTTCACAGTTGTTTTCCTTTACAATGTTGTAGTCATTATAGAAATTGTTCTCCTGATTCTGCTCCCTTTTTCTCTGCATAAGCTCATATAAGTCTTCCCAGGATTCTCTGAAATTGTTTTTTATAGAGAAGTGATATTCCATTTCATTCTATTAATACTAAAAATGACCTAAATACATGTATATATTTAGATATGTATGTACGCATGTATGTGTGTATATATATATATATATATATGTATGTATGTGTGGGTAAATACTTTCAGGCCTTCAAAGCCCTTTAAATACATTATTACATTTGATCCTAACAACAAACTTTTGAGATAGCTGCTATTAAAACCCTCATTTTAGAGAGGTGGCTATGAAATTGAGAGAAGATAAGTGATGTGCCAAAAGTCACACAGTTAATGAATGTCTGAGGCCGGATTTGAACTCAGGTCTTCTGGCCTCTGAGTTCACCATTCCATCTACTGTACCAGCTAGATGTCACCTGTCTATTAATTTGTTCAGCCATAATTTGTTCAGTCATTCCATCTACTGTACCAGCTAGATGTCACCTAGCTATTAATTTGTTCAGACCATAATTTGTTCAGCCATTCTCCAATTGATGGGCACCCATTTTGTTTACAGGTCTTTGCCACAACGAAAAAGGCTGTTATAAATATTTTTGTATACATGGTTCCTCTCTCTCTATCTTTGATTTCTTTGAGGTATAAGCCTAATAGAGGCTGGTGTAAAGTTCAGTGACTTTTGGGGTAAAATTCCAACTGCTTTCCAGATTGGTTACTGCTTCACCTACAGCTCAACAACATGTCTGTCCTCCCACACACCTTCCACAATTGTCATTTTTCATTTCTGTCATCTTTGCTACATGATAAATTCCCTATGTGTCTTGAATATCAGATAAATTGTGAAGTACTTCACCCTTTGTGAAGTACAAGTCACTTCAGTGCCTTGGGCAATTTTCTAAGACTATAAGTAGCAGAAGAGTTTCTGATGTCCATTGTTGAGGGAGTTTCCTCACTGGGAGGACCCTACACACAATATATTTAGGTCTAGACATCAACATGGGAAATTCCTAGTTTGTGAATTCCTTCCAAATCTTCTGCAAACTACCCTCAGTGCCCTCTTAAGGCAATGAGAAGACAATTGGCTTGCCCGCTGTCACATAGTTAGAACATGTTAGAGGCAGGTCTTCCTTACTCCAAGACTTGCCCACTAACCATCGCATGATACTGCCTCTCATTATAGTATATAACTATGCCAATTATGTATATATATATATAATATACATATATACACATAACATAGATAAATCACATATAATCATGCCCGTTTTACAGATGAGTAAACTGAGACTAAAAGCAATTAAGTGACTTGCTCAAAGCCACACAGCAAGTTTCTGAAGTGGAACTTGGAACTCATATATTTGGAGTCCTTATCCAATGGTCTTTCCACTACCATGTATCAAATCTATGATCAGATGAGACCTGCTACAGAACAGTATTTTATTGTATTTGCAAAGCAGAATTGGCATTGGGTTATAGTTGGATGTCTTTATTTTTCAAAACAATCCCTTCTTCTTGAAATCCAAAATGATTTTTTATAGATGCATAGGCATAAAAGTATACAAGATAACAAAGAAAATAGTATACATCAAAATGGACACAGTGGGGATGATTCACCGCTATGGGGAAAAACACCACCAATGTCATCTTCCAATGTGGATGACTCCACTTAAAACTTCCAGTCCTTTTTCACAAAGTTGTTGAAAAGTTTGATAGTTCTTTGACTTTTCTCTAACGAGTAGCAATTTATTCTCTGTCAGGCCTGCCAAAGAAAAAGCAAGAGATTGTGAATTAAATGTGAGATTGATTATCCCTAGGATCTTTCATAGATAGAAAATACTAGAAAGAATTTCTATTTTAGACTGTACCTATGTTTTGGTTGAGATAGGGAACTCCTAGTGTGGAAACTCCCTCTGCCAATGCAGATTAGCAAGTCCTCTGCAACTTACACTCTTGGAGAGTTGAGTGAGGCCTTGAGAGTTTAAGCAGCTTGCCTTTGTCTCTCAGCCAGTACATGTCAGAGGCAGGACAGACCTCTGCTCTTCCTGACTCTCAAGTTTCTCTATCCCCTACAGCAAGCTACCTCTCATTTATATGCTTTCATGCAGCATATAAATGTGTTAAGGTTTGCAGATTACTTTCTTTACATACATTTTCTCATTTGAGATTCACAACAACCCTGAGACATAAGTAAGTATTAAGGATAAAATAAAGGGATAAGAGTAAGGAACTTGTAATTTCATTGGTATGGGGTGTATGAAAATTTTAAGGGACTATTTTGTTTTTTACATCTCTAGCATTTGGAATAGAACAAATCCTTAATAAATGCTTGTTGAATTGAGCTGAAATTGATATGCTTAAACTATATGGTCCATTGGTTCAATCGATGTTTGTTACTATTTCTTGAGCATTGACAATGCAAAGTATCAGGATAGATGCAGTGAAAAATATAAAGAAGTGTGAGACTTGTCCCTCTCTTCAAAGAGTTTTCATCTATCTGGTTGGGGAACTAGATATCTCTACAAGAAAAATAATTATTCTAAAGAAATGAATAAGTGTTAAACAAATAGGACAGATACAAAATGTCACTGGAATTCAAAGAACTTTGGACAGAAATGCTCAGGGATGATTTCATAGAAGAGGTGGGGTACGTAAGCTGGGCAGGATTTTTGATAGCTGGAGAAGCAGTGGGAGGCCATTCCAAGCAAGAAGGTATGGCATGAGTGGAAAAGGCCAAGGCAAAGAAACCGAAGCTTAAAGAGGTTCATTGTTTTCTCTACACCATTAGTAAAAAGTGGAACTGGGGGGCAGCTGGATGGTGCAGTGGATAGAGCTCTGGCCTTGGAGTGAGAAGGACCTGAGTTCAAATCCCGTCTCAGACCCATGACACTTACTAGCTGTTTGATCCTGGGCAAGTCACTTAACCCCGATTGCCTCACCTCAAGTGGAGCCGGGACTCAAACTAGGGTCTCCAAGATTGCCAGTTCTGTGCTCTTTCTATGATTTCTCCTATATGAACTCTGGACTTTATTAGGGTTGTTCTTTTTTCCCCAAAACAAATCATTGTTCAGTGCTCCAATGCTCAATGTTCCATTGTTCAATGTTGGGTAGAGAACAAGCAAATGGTGAAATAATGTTATTCTGCCAGCATTCAGAAAACTCCCCTCCCACTTCCATGGGCACCTAACTAATTTCTGATTTACTTTAACGTTTTCTAATATCAAGGGTTTTGGGGTGAATGTCACCTAGCTTCCTTTTATCCCTATTGGTGGGATGGTGTCCATTAAAACCCTTTGACTCCCTGGGTATTTGTGGTTTTAACTCTTGGTCTGTTTTGGCTCTTAGGTGAACAAGTTCTATTTACTACCTTGTTACGTTTTCAGAGTCTCTATTGTGCTTGGGCAAATGATTACCTAAGAGACGAAATACACAGGAAGATACAATGCCCAACATCAGATGAGAGTGTTTCTGAAACTTGAGGTTTTGGGTTTTTTGGGGTTTTTTTTTTTTCTTCCCCAAGTGCTTTGATCTTTACCCTGCTGAGCATGTTTGCAGCTGCATTTGAACAGCTCAAGTTCCTATGAATGCAGGGCCTGGGAACTTGGGTCCTGGTTTGACTGTGGTCTCAAAGACTTGCTATATTTGGTTCCCTTTTGGCCTTTCCAGGAACGTGGTGCAATTCCGCCTCAAGCAAAACTGATATTTATTTCATGAAACTAAATCTCTCACCATCTCAAATCAATTCCACTATTAATCCAAGTCAAAATAACTTTTTGAGACTGAAACCACCACTGTTGGTTTTGACTCTCACTGATTTTTCCTCATTTCTGATTCCCCCCTTCTTCTTCCCAGAAGAGACCAGAAAGTCCCTGCAAGTCAACAAGCCTAACTAGAATCCTTGCAACTTTGATGTGGTTTCTACTCCCCTCCCTTAGTCAGCTACCCAGTTTTGTCTGATCCCAGCTGAAAAATGTTTTTTTCTTCACTCCTTGAAGAGTTACCAGTTGGTTTTCCATTTTGACATCATCGTCTAGTTAATATTTAACATTGTTAGGAGCATTTGAGTTGTAGAATGGATAAACTCTGGCCTTGAAGCCAGAAATAACCAAGTTAATAATAATTATCATTATTATTGTAATGACAAATGATAATAAAAATAATAATAGCTAATATTTCCATAGCATTGTAAAATTTGCAAAGCACTTTACATATATTATCTTACTTAAGTTCTACCTTTGACCACATACTGGCTGTATGACCATGGGCAATTCATTTGGCATCTCAATGCCTATGCCAACTCTTGAAGACTTGAACTTGTACAGAAGGTGCCAACCAACCCTCATCAAAGGAGTTTCCTCACCCTAGAATTCCCTAGTTTCTTTAGTCTTGTTATTAATTTTCTTGCACAGGTATCTAGCTCCCCAACAAGATGGAGGAGAGGACAAGTCTTACATTTCTTTATATTTTCCACTGCATCTATCCCGATGCCTTGTATTGCCAATGCTCAAGAAATAATCACTTAAGATTGGATGGTCAATCAACAAACATCAGTTGAACCAATGGACCATACACCTTAAGCGTATCAATTTTGGTTCAATTCAATAAGCATTTATTAAGGACTTATTCTGTTCCAGATGCTAGGGATGTAAAAACAAAAGTCTGTATGTAAATTTTAAAAGTTTATCTTCTACTAGGAGGAGAGGAAACAACATTGATACAAATCAATAGCTACAAAAAACACAGAAAATAAATGCAAAATAATTTTTCACGGGTCTACAATTTCCTAAGTGTGAAGACTAGCTCCCAGGGGCAATCCCATAAAAAACACATTTAAGGCACTGGGGGAGGCTTAGAGAGATTGAGGGCAGGGACTGTTTTTTGCCTCTTTTTGTATCTCCATTGCTTAGCACAGTGCCTGGCACATAGTAGGCCCTTAATAAATACTTATTGATTGATGTCACACAGCTGATAGAATTTGAACTTGCTCCTTCCTGATTTCAAGACCAGCACTCTAGCACTAACCATGCCACTTGCCATAGCTTACTATGGTAACCCCAGAACCACAGGTCAGGATTAGTTTGATTTCTGCAGCTTACAATTCTATCACTTTTTAATTTTAAGTTAATATTGATACATTTAAATTTCCGGCCAGCATGTCCATTGTGTTCCTCAAGTGAGATTAATAAGTATTAATTGGTTTGAATTGCTTTCAACTACAAGCAATTTAGTAGAAGCAAAATAGTAGCTGGGGCTTTTGCAGCTGCCAGCTTGTCCCCTGATACCAGGCAAATCTTTCACACAGTGGGTGTGGCCAGGAAATAAATATGTAGATGTTATCAGTTTCCAGCCCTGCCATTCCCACATGACCCACAAAGTTGGGGGTGAAGGGTGGGGAAGTAAGGTGGGGAGAGGAGGAGGGGAGAGAAACCATCTACACTAGCAAGCAGTATTTACTAAATCCATCAAGACAAAAATTACCCTCTTGTGCTCCAGCCTCAGTCCCAGACTCCCCAGAGACCCAGCATACTCTCTATTTGGCCAATTAGGACGCTTTTGAATTCTCATCTCAACAATTCTTATTACCTAATATGTTTCTTCCTAAAATCTCAAAAAAATGAAAAACTTTATCCACCACCCTGAAACCTAAAGAAAGACAATTTAGCAATCCCTCTTGTGAATGAATTTTTAATGTCAAAGTTAATATTTACATGGACCCTACATTTGGGCATTCACATTTTTAAGGGCAGGGAAAAATAAATCCCTAGAACTGCCTTCTTCAAAGGGAAATCTTGGATAGTCTAGGAAGGGTCCCCAAATTTAAATAGGATTCACCATGCAAACATGAATGAGTGAATATTCATTTTTTTGTTCTTTGTGTTTTGTTCCACAAACCCTAAGAATGACATTCTTGTCAGTTCCACCTGCTAACTTCATTTGGGCCAGAAGCATGCGTGCACCTTTTGGAATAAGCATGAAGGGACAGCTCAGCTACAATTAGGAAGGCTTGCTTAGCAAGGCAAGGACCCAACAGAGGTAAGAGATTAAAAAACATCTTGACAGAGGAAGTTCCTTGATGAAAGACACTTACCTTCTGGAAGACTTCTTGGCTATCAATAGGGGGAAAAAGAAACAAATGTTATTAACAAAAATTGGTAAGAAAATGATACCAAGATTCATCATACTTTTATTAAGGAAGGCTTCAGAGAGATTCTCCCTTTCTACCTCCAACTATTTTTTAAAATTCAACTCAACTAAACCTTTACTATGTCTACTCTATAGACAGTGCTGAGCCTGGCATATTTTCCTTTTGAAGTCTACTGATTAGAGATATTAATTCTAAGAGACCTAACAAATGTGATCTAACTGTTGGTACCATTATCAGAATTTGACTAGAGGTAATGATGAGCGAGGGGGTAGGTTTGGAGTTGGAAGTCTTGGGTTGAGGCTTTGGGCAAGTCCCCCAATTCTTCTAGGCCTCATCTATAAAATGAGAAGATTGGACTCATTGAAAGACTAATGTCCTTTCAAGCTCTAAATATTCAAAGTGACAGGGAATATTGGGCTAGAGGGGACCATGGGTCTGACTCAGAATGACAATGCTTATGTCTTCCTAGAAGCTGTCACATGATGGAAAGACCCCTATATTTGGAGACAGAGTACCAACCTTCAAATCCTGGCTTTGCTCCCTGCTCCCTGAGTGACCTTGGGTAAATCTAGATTCCTCATATATAAAATGAGAGAATTGGACTAGGTCATCTCAAGCTCTAAATCTCTGGTCCTTTGGAACCAGCTCTTGCTCTAGGCAGAACTTATTAAACTTTTTTGGTGTCATGGAACCCTTTGGCCATCTGGTAAAAACTATGGACCCCTTCTCAGAATTATGTTTTTAAATGCATGCAATAAAATAAAATAAACAATATAATATAATACAATACAATAAAATAAAAATATGATAAAGGATTACAAAAGAAAAAATTATATTGAATAAAGATTGGATTTTCCCATGGATCCCCTGAAATCTATCCACAGACCCCTTATGCGTCCATGAAACCTAGGTTAAGAACTCTTGCTCTAGGGGAAGCTGGAGCAAAAAGATCATTGTAGAAATAGTCCCAGGAGAAAAATATCTTCCCAACATGCATTTTGTTGATAATGTGGCTCAGCTGCAAATAATATACTCATTCAAAAAGCAACTACTATTTTGTTGTTGTTGTTCAGTCATATCTTACTCTTTGTGACCCTATTTGGGGTTTTCTTGGCAAAGATACTGGAGTGGGTTGCCATTTCCTTTTCCAGTTCATTTTACAGATGAGGAGCTGAGGCAATAGGGTAAGTGAGTTGCCAAAGTCATAAAGCTAGGAAGTGTCTGAGGCCAGATTTGAACTTAGGAAGATGAGTCTTCCTGACTTCAGGCCCAGAGCTCTATCCACTGCACCACCTAGTGTTCTATCTATTATTTTATGGTAACTCAAATTACCTATGATTTCTGTGATCTATCTGGGCTTCTCTTCATTACCGTATCTGTAACTAGTCTAACTACTATTGGGTATTAGGGACAAACAGACAAAAACAAAAGTTTCTGCCCTCAAGAAGCTTGAGCAAGAGGGAAAGATCAAACCAGAAATACGATTTTATCTGTAGAAAAAGCATTAACAAAAATATGTAACCTTTTGTTTTTCTTCTATATCATATCTGACTTGCTGCTGGCCTCTCATATGTTATCTCCTCCATTAGAATGTGAGCTCAAGTTTGTATTCATATTGCTTTGTACCTAATATGCATTAAATAAATGTTTTTTCATTCATTCATTCATTCATTACAAATTTTGTTGCCTGTTTTCACATGATTTTCTCTCAAGCAAAAAACAATGAAAGCTACAGCTGTACATCAATAAAGGCCCAGTCCTATAGAGAGAGCTTATTTTTAGAGAAAAGGGAACTAAGTGGGTATGTGTTTAGTTTCAAGCCCTATTCTCATCCTGTGCATGGGTTCATGTGGAAAACTCTCCCAACCACAAAACATACACAACACTGCATTAGTTTGAATGAAGGCCAGTGGTGGATTCAGGCCACATCTGGTTGGGGATCTGGTTTTGTTATTATGTAACCAAAAAAAAGTTGTCCCTAAAGCACCTCTGCCTCAGTTTCCTCCTCTGGTATGCATTTGCTGACTGACCTTACAGTGATGATAAAAGGTATGAGAAGTTCTGATTTGTGCAGATGCTCAGCCAGTCCTTGTGATACAGGAGATTGAAAAATGTTCTCCAATCTACCATTTCCCTCTCTTATTGTGTAAAAGGGAACCACTTAAGCAAAGGTTAAGAGGAAAGACATGCTCCTGGTACACTTCTATGTTCTAGTCTCATCCTGGGCTGGGGAGCAAAAAGGAAACCATTACTGAAGCTATTATGTTCTGTTCTGGTGGGGATGTGCTTGGAGGGGAGAGGAAGGGAAATGATCCCAGGTCCAGATCCTAAGGCTCTTGCTTAGGTCAGAGGCTCTGGGTGGAGCTCTGAAGGGCTGTATGGGAACTGAGCCTTTCTACCAACCTGTAGTTTCCACACTTGGACCTCCCTCCCTTCAGTTTCTCACATTCCCTCCCCAAGTTTCCTCAGCATTCTCACTTCTCTTAGACTCCCCAGACCTTTTAATCACTTTCTCTGCCCCACTGGGTTCTTTCCTCTCTCCATCAAACTCCTCTTTCCCCTAACACCCTGCAGAAGAAAGAGAAGAAAAGACAAATTCCCAAAACTTCCACATTTCCTTACCACTTGAACCACAGGGTGTTTATTTTTTTTTCCACAAAAAAAAGCAATGTTATAAACTGGTGAAATTCCCAGGCTAGCCCATAATATAACTGAAATGCCATATATTTGCAACATAATCATTTGCTGTTTTTCATTGCACGTGTACCATACTTCAGTTACATTTTTATTTAAGTAACCACCTCAGATTTAATTCGCTAACTGCTATTTGCGACACTCTTGTTATGAAGAAACCTGTTTTGAGTTCCAAGCAATTTGCTTACAAACAAACTCTTGAAAGTCTAGCCTGTTAGTAAATTGGGGCTGCCTATGTTAGAATTCAACTCAACAAATATTTGTTGGGCACCTACTATGTGCAATGTACTATATTAAGTTCTATGGGAGGGGAAGAGAATGAGTAAGACATAGTCCTCGTCCTTAAAGAGATTATAATCTGACAAGGAGCACTTTTTTTTCCTAAATCCGAATTTTTTAAATGTAGCTTTATGGTAGTCCTAACTACCTATGAATTCTGTGATCTTCTGGGCATCTCTTCTCTTCGTTGGCATAACTGTAACTAGTTTAGCTTTTATCTGTTTCCTGTTTGCCCCCACTTTGAAATTCCCACAGCGGTGGCACGTCAATCATCATGCTATCTGTCTGAGATCTTGTACAGAAATGACTCTGGGGGAGAAGACTGAAAAAAACAACCTACCACCTTTCTCATTACTGCCAATTTCAGCCTTGGCCAAACTCCTTGTTGGATAAAATAGGCTCAGACTATTCATGGGATTGAAATGTAGATGATTGAAATGTAGAAGTAAAGCATCTCCTTATTCAAAGTCTTTAAAGGCTGTCTAGGAAAATGGTTATTTCAGGGGTCCATGAACTGTTTTCAGAGCACAGCCTGTTGCCAAGAGGAAAAATACAGCCCCACAGACAACACGTGGAAGCTGCCCTCTCCTTTACCCTTTTTATTCTGGGTTGCTGGAGGCAATGAGAATTAATAGGGGACTATGAGATCATGGGATCATAGATTTAAGGCTGGAAGGACTCTTGAAGATCATCTGATATAATTTTATCGTTTTCAAATTGTATCATATATTTAGATCTGGAAGGGTCCATAAAGATCATCTAATCTAATCTCCCTCTCCCCCCACCCCCGTTTCACAGATGAGGATCCTGAGGCCCTGAGTGGTTAAGTGTACTACTCAAAGTCACAAAAATAGCATGTGGCAGGTCTGGGATTTGAACTAGGGACAGTATTTGAGCCAAGATTCCAATTCCAAGGCTAGCATCTGTTCCAATGAACCATTCTGCCTCATGTAGATGGGTGTAAGGTGGACAATAGTGGGGGTTGATAGATGTGATCTCCTCTGGTGAAGAATTCCATAAGAACCTTCCTTCCTCTGGCCTCCCCTGACCTTATACCTGAGGCAGTCTCTCTCACCTTGGTTCAGGATGAAAATCCTGATCAAAGCTGATAGCAGTGGCCATATTGATCTGGGTGCCTTAGATCCATTTAGTAGACTTGTAATTTATCCAGAGTACCATCCAACTTCCCTCTCACCCTGACTGAAAAACTTGCCCAGAATGTCCTATGCTTGCATTTTGGACAATACCATGAGTGACCTGGAGGACCCCTGACAGCCTACGGACAACACATGGGAACCCACTAATCGAAAATCACTTTTAAAAGGTAACGTTCTGTGAACAGGACTGATTAATGCATTGGGTTTGAGGAATTTCAAATAGCAATTCAGTGTGAAGGCAGCATTTGCCAAAATAAAGGTTGCTGGGCAGTGGGTGATCTGTACTCACCAATGAACCATTTGGGGGCTTTAATGCCTTTCTTTTAAATACAAAATTTAATTTCACTATTTTATTTTTTTTCTGCTAAACAGGGTTAGGTGGTGTGTTGTTAAATCTGATGCCAGAAACATCGAAAATGATTCATTTTTACATAGATCTTGCTGTTGAAAGTGTGATTTCAAAATAACAGGTTTAGCTAACACTTCAGGTTGTAACACACTTAAAAGACAAGGTGAGTCAGAACAATGGGAGTGTTACTCAGATTTTTTTTTCTTTTTTGGTGGCTTTCGATTCTGCTTTGCCCCTTCTCAACTGGTATAAACTACTTTGGTTTATCTATCCCCACCCTTCTGTCTTCTTCTCCAGTTGTCTTTTCCCTCCCAGAGAGACTGGGTAGCAGGGAGGTATGGTACTACAAATACACTGAAGTCAGTATTTCTTCATCCACCAGCCCAATGAATCCAGAACAAAATTCAGGGCTGGTTCCTAATCTCAAAAAAATGAAAAACTTTATCCACTGCCCTGAAACCTAAGACAATTTAGCAATCCCTC